CCATCTGTTGAAAACTAAACCCGGTGACGCCGTTAGGTCACCGCTAAAGAATTTGGAACACGTGGTTTTATGAAGCAACTCTAACTCAGCGTTTTACTTTTCCGCCCACGTGCGGTGCAGATGTGGGGCAGGAGTGTCATGAAAACATCCAGCTGTGATCCTACGATGGACTTTTTGGAGATTCTACCTTTAAACTCTCACAGACACAGACCCAGGGGACGTATTATTCAGAAACCTCCACCCGTCATCAGCGACGTACAGCAGGTCCTCGACTTATGTCCAGAATTCCATTCCTAGGTTGCGATGTAAGCAGGGATGGGCATTTCACGCAAAAGAAAATTGCCCATCCCTGGGAGCAGTTGCCGTAAAAAAATATTGTTCATTGCTGAGTAAAAAAAGAGTTTGAATTTCTTAGGTTAGGAAACTCTGCTGCATGGACTTTACTAAATGCTTTTCAAGCTCCTGCGGGCCACACAAAAGGGCTTGGCGGGCCGCTGTTGGGCCCCCGGGCCTTGAGTTTGACTCATTGACACACTGTGCAGTAGTTTTGAAAAAAATAAGAAGAACAATTCGACAGTGAAGGCTGTGGTGTTTTTTATGGAATTGTTGTTCAGCAACTACAGATTTAATGGACTCAAAAATGCTCGTCTGCTTCAAGGTTAATGGAGGCCTAAAAATCGTTGTCATTTTTGTTTTAAAATCTTATCTCTTCAACAGTAATGGCACGGCTGGGAAGATGAACGGGGCACTGGAACATTCAGACCAGCCAGACCCTGATGCCATCAAGATGTTTGTGGGCCAGATTCCTCGCTCCTGGTCCGAGAAGGAGCTGAAGGAGCTGTTCGAACCGTACGGAGCCGTTTACCAGATCAACATCCTCCGAGATCGCAGCCAGAATCCTCCTCAGAGTAAAGGTACAGACGTCAGTTTCACATGCACAATGTTGAGTCCAAACTGTTACAGTTGTCTCTCAGATCAGGTCATTAAAAACGGCTCTTTGAATTGACCCCAGTTTCTTCATGGTCAGGAATTAGGACTTTAACCATTTTACCTTTTAACCGTATGTGATTCTTACTACTGATATTTTCCAGTCCGACTCAGGCCCACATCTTGTCTTTTAAAGGCTCCTAAGTTGTGATAGTTACGGTAAATTCCATCTGAATTTTACGTCGTTGAAGTCAAACAGACGTCGCAAGTTGTTCCGAGAGACCGTCATGGACGGACGCTCGGTGTTTTGATCAAATAAAACTGACGTGCGTAGCATTCATATTTAACTTCCGTCTTCCATGTCTTACACTGTTAGGACAGTGGGATGTGTTGACAGTAGCGATGATTCAATACAACTTTTTCATGTCCAATATCGATACTGCGACTTGAGGTATCTACTGATATCGATATCGATCCGACATCTTCATTTCTCCTCCTGCATGCCGTGGACTGGCCTTGCTGAGGCGATGGTGTCGCGCAAAGTTAAGCATTTTAGGTTAGGTATCGGATCAGACAGGCTATAGTAGTTTTTTTTCGATGTTCGATCCTGAAATTTGGACCAATATCAGACCAATACCAATCCTGAGTAGTGGACCAAAATATTCATAGTAACTTTTTTCTGTTATTGTTGTTAAAACCGATTTTCTTCCTTATCCGTGACAATTCAAAAGTAGCTACGGTTTTTAGCTTACGGGAACACAGCAGCTAGATTTACATCAGTGCACAAACTGACCACAGGAGGCAGCAGTAGGCCAGCTGTGCTTTTATGTCTCTAGGCAAAAATCTTTTTTCTGTGAGTTGTTTCTGTTACTGAATCATCCGGTTTCTGAGTCCTGTTCCAGCAGCAGGGGGCGTTCACAGCCCCGTCTGCTTATCCACACAGAGCATATTTTTGTGAATTCAGTTTCCAGCAGGATAATGATCTTTTGAGGGCTCCTATTGCAACATTTGTGCAGGAAACACGTTTTTAATGAAGACATTAAACCCTGTGGGGGGGGGGGGGGGATAAACGTCATTTATCCTAAAGATAAATGACGTTGCACCGTCTCCTCCTCTTCTGCTGCCAAACGACAAACAGACAGGAAGTACAGCTACAACACTCTGCGGAAGTTGTGTTTTTGTGTGTATGAAAAAAAGGAAATTCTGTTTACGTTTCTCTGTCTCTCTTTATCGCTGATTTTCCCGGCGGACTCTGGCGTTCGAGGCTGTCAATCCAACATCGAGACAGAACAGTGAGGATTTAGCTGACGTATATTTCTACTGTCACAGCCTTCTTTAATGTGTCCGAAGTTTAACGAGACACACCTGACCTAGCGTGTTTCACTTATGACGCAATATTACACCTGACCTAGCGTGTTTCACTTATGCAGACGATTCCTACCTAATTATAATCAACTAAGTTGCTGTCAACTTGTTGTTTTGCTATTATTTTGCTATTTGCCGTTACAATAAGAAGCTGATTCGTCAGGTTAATGTTGAGGTGTCGTATCGGATTACAAAATGAAGGTATCGAGCCATCCAGGTTGTATTGTCTGAAATTGAAAAATTTTGAAAAAAAAAAAAAAAATTCCCTGTGTTTTCAGTCAAATCAAACCAAAACGCATGATCTGAACGTTTTGAACTCGTATCGCCGCGCAGCGAGAAAGCTCCACCGTCCAAGACAATTATCTGCTCTAATGGGTTCAGTTGAGACGAGTCGACCTGAGACAAGGCGCTGAATTTCTTTTTTTATTTTTTTTTTTTCAATCTTTCCTTTAGCACCGAGTCCAATTAGATCATCTTAACTTGACGTTAGTGCCGTTTTATTTATTTATTTATTTTATTATTTTCTTTTTTAAATTGTACACTCCTGCTCAGGCTCCAATTAGAGAGAAAAGTGTGTGTGTGTGTGTGTGTGTGTGAGCCTTTAGTGTGTAAAAATATTTTCATGCCTCAGTGACAGAGAGACAGTTGCTTAGTTATCGCCGCAGTTAAAAAAGGAAAAATAATTTATTTTATACTGGACTTGAGGGGAAAGTCGGGGTTTCATGTTCGTTTTTCTTTTTCTCTTTCGTTCGCTGTCGCGTGTCATCCAGGAATATCCGCTGCCGTCGGTGTCGTTACTGCGGCAGAACTGATCGTCAAATCTGTCAAACCAATCCAAGCTGTCGTCCGTCATAGCCATAGCTCGATAGAACTTTTTCATGCTAGATACCAATACCGATACCACAGCTTGGAGTGTCTGCCGATAACGATACCAATCCGATACCTAATTTTTCCTATAGCGTGTCGCGGGCTGTTGCTGATCATTGTTGTTTTTTTTTTTTTTTAATGTTCGATCCTGAAATTTTGACAAATATCGAACCGATACCGATTGCAGTGGTTCGATACCAGAGTATCGGATCGAGCCGTCCCTAGCCTGTGATACGTAAAGTATAATTTAAGTCCAGTGCTGCCTGCGTCTGAAATCTTTTCAAACTCAGTAACACAAACTGACCACAGGAGGCAGCAGTGGACCAGCAGGTCCTGTGTCCTCTAGACCACTGTCCTGGTCTCCAACCTTTTTTTGTACCAGTATCAGCTGTTACTGCGTAACCAGTCATACCGCAACATCCTCGAAGGATCATTGGATTTTCAAAATAGAACATCTTTCAGACTTTACTCTGTCAAAATGAAACACTGACAGATTCTCTTTGAATGAAAATAAGTAAAGGGACACGACTGGATTCTTTTTGAATGAAGTAGAATAGTAAAATTGAAGTACATTTTTTACACTGTGTCCCTACTGCGGAACGGTACCAAATGACCTACGGACTAGCCCCGGTCCCTACTGCGGAGCTGTACCAAATGACCTACGGACTAGCCCCGGCCCCTGGACCGGGGTTTGGGAACCCCTGCTCTAAACCACTTATTGGTTATAAAACTGTTTGTTTTTTTTATCAGCTAGAATTTGTCTGAAACACATTTTTCTAAAATGATCCCGTTCCTTCCATCTGCCTAGTCTTTCGAGGACGTTTTGGTTGAGTTCTTTTCACCAGGAAAGGTTCAGTCTGCGGTGAATGTAGCAAACGTGTCGGTGAGTGACAGAGGGGAGGACCTGCGGTGCAACCGAGTCGACGCGCGCTTTATTAAAAGGAGGGGTAGACGGGGCGTGCAGAGGAGAAGGAGGAGAAAAAGGTCAAGTCATGTCGAATAAAACCTTCCACCTGAGGCTGTACCTTCTCACTTACTCCACGTTTCCCTCCGAACCTCATCCATCATCACTTTTCCTTAGCCTCGCACCTTGAGAACGCTCTGACCCCGGAGGCTGCTCTTAAACCACTGACCCACATTAGCTACACTTTACACAGCAATTACTGCAGCACACACACACACACACACACACACACACAGAGAGAGTTGTAAGAATTAATCTTAATGTGTTTAATTCGTAGAGCAGCTGAGTGACAGCAGGAAATTGGAAGGATGGAGGATGAAGAATGACTTGTCACACATTAAAATGAGGAGGAGAAAAATTCACACCTTGAAACCAGTGTGAACCGTCACATCCCTGCTTTTGGCTGATGTTCTGATCCTGTTGGAGTTGCCAACAGAAGCAGCGTCTTTGTGAATCCAGCTGTTGGTTTGATTTGATTCCCAGCCTTCAGCTCAGATCTCCGTCCTCGTCTCTCGTCCCTCTCTCTCTCCGCCAAACGCTTTTTCAAGTCTGAACTGACAAAAGATCCTTTATCCTTTTGTGTTTTGTTTTTATTTTTTTTATTTTTTTTTAAACAGAGATTAACAGTTTGTGTTGTACATCTGTAGACAATTAGACTCTAAAACCAAAACCTTCGTAATCTGTCGGATTAAACAGTGCGATGTATGGGCTGAAGAGAACAGGAAGTTAAGCGTCGGGGGCGAAATGGTCTTCAAGAAACTGTGTTGACTGTTAAACAGGTAAAAGCAGCATAATGCAGGTGTGTGTGTGTGTGTGTGTGAGAGAGAGAGAGAGAGAGAGAGAGACTGTGTGGTCCACTTTCTCTTTGATCCTTGTCTTTGACAGCTCACCACCTGGGGAGCAGCACCATAGACTGCACGGCTGCCGGGCGCCGGCTACGCCACAGGAATCACAACACACACACACACACACACACACACAAACACACACACACACTCAGTTACAGCAGACTAATGTCACTAATGTACATTTAACACACAATAACACCTTAAAAACACTGTGCGACTTATTAGCGTTAGCAGTATCACACGGTTCATTTAGTTGTACTTTGCTGCTGTATTGCAGTATTTATATTTTGTTGTATTCTAATACAATATATTAATATTGTAACATATATCTAGTATGCGATTCTATTCCGTTCTACAGAAACACGCTATCGCTAACGGTTAACAACGAGCAACGTTCAGTTAATACACTCTTGCGTGAACTTTACACATACATCAATGCGCTACTTAGCGCACGCTAACACTGACACACAATTAAAACACTGAGTGACACCGACGCACAGTGAACGCACCTGCACCTCGTTACTGTGTGGTCATAAACACGGGTTGACGTTCGTCTGCGAAGGAAGCGTCAACTGGAACGTTATTATCGTTCCTCTTTGAACCGTTTTTATCCAAATAGCTAAAAGCGCTAACAAACAGCCTGGAAAAAATATAGAGATATAAAAACTGTAATTATGTCAACTAAAATTTGGCGCGTACACAACGTTGACGTTTGGTTACTACAAATGAAAAAAAAGAAAAGGAATAATAATAATGAAGTCATTAGTCAAAAACGTGCCTCATGTTCTTCATTTATTTTCCTCCTGTGCAGTCTGACTGATGAGTGCACAGAGAACCCACACAGCTGTGAGGCACTGGAAGAGGCTGTAAAAGGAACTTGGAACGGCTGAAATGTGACCGCAGAGAAAATGTTTGAAACCAGAGTATCGTTTGAGTGGAATGACTCGTCTCGCTGCCACTCCAGGACAGACAAATAAAAACACTGAAGCTAACGCGAATACAATCTCCAAGTACCGATCACCACTGGGTTGTTTGGCCAAGGTCCAGCTCTTCAGCAGAACTGGCATCGGTACCAGGAACTCACTAGGGCTCCAGAGAAATTCAGACCCATTACGAAGCCTCAGTCTCATCAAAGAGACTCTGGGACGGGGACTAAACCGGGTCCAGATGCTCATGGTTGGATTTGAGAGCCAACGCGCTGCAGGGCGAGTGTCATCAGCAGTGACAACAAAACCAAGACTTCCCGGATCTGAATCATGCTGTGTCACAAACACAAAGAGGCTAAGGATTAGTGGAAACAAAAAAACAAAAAAAAAAAACTCCCAAAAAAACAATTAGCTCGACGTAAAAAGAAAACGATTAGATTAGATTGAAATTGATTTCAGCAGCATCATTATAATTTCAGCTAAATTTTAAAGTAATATCTGTAACAAAACAGTGCTGGCTATCGCCAGGTGCCTTGCAATACGATACTTAGCCATGATAACGATGTTATCGCGACACAACGATAATCGATATATCGCGATAAATTTCAGCGTTAGTTCATTTTATTTCTTCTCTAGCGATTACAAATGTCGATCCCTCTGTTCCAATTTTTTTAACCTGATGTTAAACATGTAACAGCATTTCGTGTTTACTATGCTAACAAATTTCCTTCAATTAAATTGTTTAAAAAAAAACAGTACGTCATCGTACCTATAGTATTATAGGGAATCGCAATTTGTCGTATTGTTGCCCCTGTTTCGGTGTATCATATCGTGATTCTTGCGGGAAATGTTTTTCAGTTATTTTTAACACTCGTGTAGCTTTTTTTTTTTCTTTTTTTTTTTTTTTTTTTTTTTTTTATCAAATCTTCGGTGTGTGTCTAACTGATGCCGTTTCAGTGTAAAAAGTTCAAAGACTCGACAGTCGACCATAAAGCTACATAGTCAGCAGGTTTGGTTTTTTTTTTTTTTTTTTCCGGGTTCTGTCAGAGATCAGATCAGTTGTGCAGTGTTTCACTTGGACTCTGGGGGGAGGATTAAAGTCTGATCTTCCTTCATCCATTGCATTAAAGTGTGTGTGTGTGTGTGTGTGTGTGTGTTTAACCTCCAGCTGCATGTGGATTTAAAAGTTTTCCTAATAAAAATGAGCTGAGTTGCCGTTTTGTTCTCACTTCATTATCTTCCCTGACCTGGTGTGAGCGGCCGAACACGGTTTTAAACCGCTGAGAAAAATATATGCAGTAATGAGCAAAATAACGTTTGACTTTTCCTACATAGAAGTAAGCTGTATTTTATACAGAGAAATAA